TATATATATATACATATAGGTACCACCACCTTCTTGATTTTCGTCGGCTCTCCCCGACAATGGTCCATACGCTTCCGGTTCACGTACGTCGGATTTTTCACTGGACCCCTCGTGGAATATTCTTTCGACGAGAGCTCCGCATATAGCAGAGTCGAGATGGGACTCCTCATCGCAGTTAATGAACTCCCCCCTCCCCCGACGGAAGAGAGCGCCAAGTATACCGGAGATATCGGAGGAAGACGAGGGCGCGCAGCGAGAGATGAGGGGAAAATCCCTTGTAGCGCATATATATTGGTGTATAATCTCTTTGTTTCGCGCTCGATTGTTGAAATCTGGCTTTAATTTGCGAGCGCACAAGCCTATATGATATATCCCGTAGGCACGGTGCTGGTTTAATTGATACGGAGAACGTAAAATCCATAGGCGAGCTTAACGTGTCGCTGAATAATTTGGACCGAGAGAGTATACTGGGGAAAACGCGCGATGCAGCGCCACGGCGCGAGGGCAGTAATTTTGAGAACTGATTTACAACGGGAGTAGCTTTGGCGCTTCAAATATTATGTTGTTAATATTTACGAGCGCGCTGCCAACCGAAGGGCCCATTTGTATTTGTACGATATAGAAGATATATTATACGCTCGCATGGTTAAAATATTCAATCCGATGCGGTTATTTATGTAATGATGATAAATAAATGCATTTGAAAAGTTACGGTCATTTTTATTATTTGTGACGATGTGGTGATGGTAGCGATGAACTTTGTACTCGAGACGCGTTTCGAACGCGTAACTCGTTTAATATACTCGAACCGCAGCTCTAACTTTATAGCCACGGCATTGTCGTTTTACTATATATCCGTAGGTATGTATACACACGATGTCAATACGCGAGCATTAAATTTAACGTTGCGGTCCGTTTAGGCCAAACATTATATTAAAATTGATGACTCTTGCGTCACGTGATTTGCCAAATTGGTGTTAATTTTACGAATCAATTTGTAAATATATATTATGTACTTGTTTTTTTTTATACTTTGAGCAGTGGAAAGCGATGCCAATAGGTTACCTAATAATAATAATAATAATAATAATATTGTCCCTCCACTCTGTCCAGCTTCAGCAATTTTCATTCATCAAACAGCCCACGTGATGTGCCGTCTCTCTCCTGGCATCAAATTTCAATTTTCCCCCGAGGCGTTATAACACATGGAGTGCCATTGTCTCGATCATAATATATAATGTACTTACCCCGTGCATCACGCGCGCGCAGAGAGAAAAGGTGATGTCAACGCGCGCGAGGAAGGTATTATATGGTTGTTCGGAAATCGGTGCAGCACAGCTCGAGTTGCGCTCGAGTTCCCGAGAGGTAAAAAATGCACATCCTGCCCCGCCCTTGCCCCCCCCCTCACCCTTTCGTGCTTGTTGCTAACAAAGTAACGGGTATGTAGATATTACGCGTACCTAACTGGTGCTCGCGGAGCGCGCGTTGTTTCCATTAAATTTGAAGTTGCTTTGACCCGCGTAATTGAATTTCACGCGCCCGCGCGCGCAAACAAACAACGACTATGTATAACCATGGTATATCTATGGGTCGCGTTACGTGCACCCGTTTTATCACTCAATTCTTTGGTACATCGAGAGTATAAACTGTTGTCACATTCGTTTAGACGATACAGCCAATTATTGTAATGCAATGACGATAAGTGACGGAAAAATAGGTAAAGGTGCCCATCATGCATGAGGGGATCACCCCGGCTCATACTATGTATTTATTATATTGTTGATAATTCAACGAAATCGCTATTTTCAAGCGATGCCCAGGAAAATGGGTTGATTGGTCGGTTCTGAATAAAAAATCAGCAACACGGCCGGGCAATTACACTCGCGCCCGATTGAATTGGAGCTGCATTTGGACTCTCTCGGCGCAGGTGCCGGTGCGTCGACTCGATTTTTCCGGAATACCCCAGAAGCGCATCCCCAACGTGTAACAACGTGTTGCAAACTTGGGACGGGGACGGTGCACTTTGGCTCGTTAATTATACGATGTAGCTGCCGCTCCAGCCAAATTGATCCGAACCATCTCGGGATGATGATCTATAATTTGCTTTTAGCGCCGAGAGAGAGAGAGAGAGAGACTTAACACTCGAGTGATAACGCACAATGGGACCTGCAGATCCACGAAACTCGCTACGGTAAGTGAGTGTACTTTACAATGGTGCACCTACACTACTACTGTATCCTATATATATGGCTGTTGTCTCCAGGGCGTACACATATACACCACTATAACTGTACTTATCTCTCGGGGAGGAGGAGAAGGGAGTTGGTGATGCTGCAGCCCGACAGTAATGGGCCGCTCATCCTACCGCAACAAGATCTCTGCGCATGAGAGACACATATAGGTATACCCACGACGTATGATAGAGTGAGAGAGAGATCCTAGTCCGATTGAGGTTGTCCCGCGCGAAATTAATCAAAGATTAAGGATAAAATTATGTTTATTGTTCGACTGGCGGAGTTGTCTGGAATCGTGTTTTCGTGCAGGCATTCTTAATGAAGTTTTGTCCGTAAACGGATCGAGCTGTCGCGACGTGTGGTACATTAGCAACGTAAATATTTAACGAAACGAACCATCCATTTACGGACAAATGTGCGATGCAACTTTAACAAACATACATATACATATACCCATTGTATACGTAAGAGAAGATCTTTGACTTTCACCTCGTCAGAGGAACTCATGATACGCAGGGGTGCATTACGAGAAATACAGCGAAATAATAATAATAATAATGGCGCATCCGTATTTCTCTCGGCCCGAGACTCGTGTGTACATATATCTATGCTCGATCATATTATTATCATGAAGAGATTATACAATGGAGGAGCACCATACTTGTGCTTTTCTACGTCTGTCGTATACGTATACAATGCGCACTTGAAATGTATACATGGGTAACTTTCAGGTATACCCATTGTGTATATAATTGTATAATATACACACAAGTGGTGCATATAATAGCTCATTGGCGCAGCAGTAGGTATAGGTATACACGACACTCTGCAGTTTTGTTTCCTGATGTGCATCACCGAGAACGTTATTATTATTATATATGTAATATGTATATCCACGCGTCAGGTACCACGCAGATAGCGAAGCTATGAATAGGTATAGCAGTAGTTTGTGCGGGTTGGGGGCGGTAATCGCATTAGACCCTCGTCTAGGACACGCGGATGGATACAGAGAGCCAACCACTGTACGGTGCTTTGTGCCTATATATGAATGCACCCTATATTTATATGTATAGATCTTGCTGCACAATATACACACATCCACTGCAGTGGTGTTGTTTCGCTGCCTATATATATATATACACTATATTATGCGCCTTGGCTCGGAATTCATCGGATATTCGTGTACAATATACATACAATTGCCACGCTGCCTAATTCGATGGCGCAGCAACAATGATGATGATAAAAGGCCGAGGCCGCTTGGCGATTCGCTCTAAAACCCCCGCGGTGCGGTGGTGTGGAGAACATGTATATATATATAATACTTTAATATATGTATAGCCTGTAGGTATATATGTGGGGTGCAACCCCGGGGGCGGAGGATGATAAAATTTCGCAATTGATTACCTTGGCTGGGAGGTTATTTGGGAGTAATGTTTCCCCGTAGTCAAACTTTTTGACCGTAAGAGAGATGAGCCGGTGGATTTTGCTCGGTGCCCCCCCCCCCTTGGAGAAAGTGGAAGAAAAATAGAGATGGAGGAAACGGTGACGCGAGGGAAGAAGAATAGCTGCAGTTTTAATGGAGTCCGCGCTCACCATTGTTGGAACGCTTGCTTATCCGACGACCAGTCCCTCTCGGGGCGAGTGGGACGTCATCAGGGAGGATCGACTTTCAATCCGAATACACCCCCCCACCTCCCTGCACAGCGGTATAATGGCGTAATGTACATATACATATAAAGCACGAATTTCGCGACATATGAGGAAAATTTTTTCATTCGATCGCTCAACAATGTATACACCCCCTCTCCTCCGTATACATCATGACAATTGGATGAAATGAAAGGAACGGAAGGAGGAGGAACAACTTTCGCCCAAGAGGAGAGGAG